AAAAAAAAAAAAAAAAAGCCACGTATGCTCTGTCTTGCAAAAGTCCTCTTCCCCTTACTACAGTTTCCAAGAAGTACAGGGGACAGGACACTGTCACCTAACAGGGAAACTGGCAAAATCCAAACTAAAAAACCGTTAACATATGAGTACTTCTTAAATGGTGTGAAGACTAGTTTTTTCAAACAATTTCTAATCCATCCCAGGCTGATATTTCTGTAAAATATAATAAACACAAATTAGGAGAGAGTGGAATAAGACGAAAACAGCCCAAACATCGTTACCTACAGCAAAAAGCTGGATGACATGGCAATATCAAAGTTTTGTTTTTAAGATGCTTACTCTGGATTTCTGATTTGTTTTGCCTCAGTTCAGCAAAAGGTCACAGGCCACACATCACTGATCTCCAGGACAAAACAGTTGTTTCAACAAATAACTCGAAAGAAGATGGAAGAGGAGAAAAACCAAAGACTGAGAGACTTGAGATGGCCGAAAACATTGTGGCTCCTGAGTAGAATACGCTGGAAAAGCTGTTTGAGATAGTAAGACGTGTGCTCACTTGCTGGAGTTTTGCTACAAGTGCTTTATACTTTGGTGTGAAAATGGAATTAGAGCTTAAAAAGCATTCCCCATAGTCTAAGGATGAATGTTGAAACATTTACAAGTTGTATGATGTGCAAGTTTTTCGTCAAAAATAATCCAGGGCAGGAGGAGAGCTGGCGTAAGGAGAAATGAGATTGGCCACATGTAATTAATGGTTGAAGTGGATCAGTGGGTGAGAATTCACTATATTATTCTATTTTTAGGAAGGTTGAACTATTTGAAATCGCCATTTTTGTTAGCCAAGACGGTCAAATAATTTCATGTTTCAATCTAATATGTAGGTTTTAAAATTCCTATAGCAAAGATTAAATACTCCTAGAAGATTCTGAAATATCTCAAAATAGACTTAAATCTAAAAGGAAAAAAGGTCCTATCAAGGTCTGAAGTTTTATTTTTGAAACGGAGCCTCAATCCGTGACCCAGACTGGAATGCAGCGTCACGATCTCAGCTCACTGCAACCTCTGCTTCCTGGGTTCAAGCAATTCTCCTGCCTCAGACTCCCAGGTAGCTGGGATTACAGGCGTGCACTACCACGCCTGCCTAATTTTTGTATTTTTAGTAGAGACAGGGTTTCACCACATTGGCCAAGTTGGTCTCGAACTCCTGACCTCAAGTGATCCCCCACCTCAGCCTCCCAAAGTACTGGGACTATAGTCATGAGCCACTGGTGCAGCCATCTAAAGTCTTAAAAGATTGACTAGCTTATGAATTATAGGCCAAGATCTGGGACTTTCTCTGTTCCAAGGTTATTATAAGAGGCGGATTTCACTTTTATTGAGAGGATTTGTGGGGGTAAAGGAATCTTAGCATGAGAAGCTGTACAGCACAGTGGTGAGGGCTTCGGTCTTAGGCAGAGGGTTTGCTCAGCTATGTGCTGTGCTACTGGAGAGCTACTTAACCTGAGCTTCAGTTTACTCGTTTGCAAAAGGAGACAACATACATGCCACAGAGCTGCAGAGTTAAACAAGACGAAAAAATATAAGTTCTCAGTACAGTGCTCAGTCTGAGTAAATGCAATTATGTGGCTTCAGATGTCACAAGTGAGGACTACAGATTTCACATCCTAGCAGTTGTGCTCGAAGCCCCTTAACAAGTAATCTAGTCCAGTGGCTCTCAACTGGGGACCATTCTACCACCAAAGGACACTCAGCAATGCCTGGGAACATTTTCAATTGTCAATGTTTGTTTGCATGCATGCGTGAGAATGGCATCTAGTGGGTGAAGGCCAGGGGTGCTGCTAGACATCCTAGAGTGTGCAGGACAGCCCCCACAAGGAAATGATGCAGTCCCAAAGGTCAATAGGGCTGGGGTTGAGAAAGTCTGCATTAGTCCTACTCCCAATGTTTCTTCCAAGTGTAATCCTGATACTGTCACTATCAACTAGATCATGGATTCAGTGTAGTTTCCCAGGCCTTACCCTATAGTCACTGAAAACTTAGGGCAGGCAGAGGGGTGGTAGTGTGGATCAAGTAGGGATTTGTGATTCCAAGGACTTGCGATTTTTTTTGAGACACGGTCTCGCTGTCACCCAGGCTGGAGTACAGTGGCACCAACATGGCTCACTGCAATCTCCACCTTCCAGGCTCAAGCCATCCTCCTACCTCAGCCTCCCAAGTAGCTGGGACCACAGGCATGCACCACCACACCTGGCTAGTTTTTGTTATTTTTTTTGTAGAGACAGGGTTTTGCCATGTTGTCCATGCTAGTCTGAAACAATCTAGAGCTAGATTGCTAGAGCTCAAGCAATCTGCCCACCTTAACCACCGAAAGTGCTGGGATTACAGACATGAGCCACCACACCTGGCCTCAGGGACTTGCATTTTTGAAGCACTTGCCAGAGGATTCTGCTGTATTACTTGCAAGTCCTTGCTACTCAAAGGGCGGTTCCTAGAGCACCAGCATCACCTGAGAGCTTGTTAAAAATGCCAGGTGCAGTAGCTCACACCTGTAATCCTCTAGCACTTTGGGAGGCCAAGGCGGACAGATCACGAGGTAAGGAGATCAAAACCATCCTGGCTAACACAGTGAAACCCATCTCTACTAAAAAAAAAAAAAATTAGCCAGGTGTGGTGGCGTGTGCCTGTAATCCCAGCTACTCAGGAGACTGAGGTAGAAGAATCGCTTGAACCTGGGAGGCAGAGGTTGCAGTGAGCCCAGATCGTGCCACTGCACTCCAGCCTGGTGAGTGAGACTCCATCTCAAAAAAAAAAAAAAAAAAGGCAGCAGAGTCTCAGGCCTACAGAACCAATCTACACTTTAGCCAGATCCCCAGGTGATTCCTGAGCACAACACATTACGATTTGAGAAGCACAGCTCACAGCCAGTGGTTCTCAGACATGAGCGTGTATCAGAATTGCCTAGAAGGCTGCTTATAACACAGGTGGCATAGGCTCCCCCTCCGGAGTTCCTGATTAAGTAGGTATGGGGTGGAGCCAGTGATTCTTCAGTTCTAAGAAGTTCCCAATTGATGCCGATGCTGGTCTGGGAACCATACTTTTGAGACTCTTACTCTGTGAGCAAGAAACTGGCTCAGATGCTAAAGGCTGCAGGACTGGAAGTTTTCAGCTCATTGGAACCCACACTTGCCAGATCTGCAACCCATCCTATGGCCCTCAGGGGAAGACACAAAGCCTCATTGCTTAGCAACTCACATACGAGAAGAGAAAACCATGAAACTCGAGGGTTTTAATTCCACAGAAGTCAAGCAACACTGGAAACAAATCTAAGTGAGGTACTGTAAAAAACAGTGGTTTGGGGAATAGACTGGGAAACCAGTAAGTTTCAAGTTTTACCATTTATCAGCTGTGTCCCGCTGGATAAGATACTCAACTTCCCTGTTCCTCAGTTTCCACATCTGTGAAATGGGTATTATGGCCATCTCATTAGCTTAGATGAAGTTCTTTAGTATATGTACGAGAACCTTGTGTATTAGTCAATACTGTATAAATGCTATTAGTGTTATTCACTGATAATACACACATAAGACTCTACCAGATTCTCAGAGGGAGAAAAACGCGTGTTTTCAATGGAAACTAGAAAATAAGAGGTAGGTTAAAGGATGACCCAGATAGAGCCTCTGATGAGGTGTGAGGAGCCTCAGATTTTTACATTTAGACATCCAGGAAACCAAGGAAGGGCCGAAGCCCACTCTCCTGGGAAAGGTGCGGCTGGGGGAGGCCCTCGGCCTCTGGAAGTGGGGGTAGGCCACATTTGACAATTAGAAACCAGGTGAGCACGGCGAGGATTTTAACCCCTGGGGAAACGGATGATGTTCCCTCAGTAAAGGTTCCTCTGGCCCCTCCGTCATTTTACTGGTGGGACAGGAAGTCTACCAGTTACTTTCCATTTTATTTTCCTCCAAAAGCTACTTGAGTTGCAAAGACACTTGCAAATTAAGAGTGGCCCAACCGTAGTAAAAAATGTACCCCCTTGCCAGTGTCACAGACCAAAGATGCTAGGATAAAAAGTCAGCTGGAAGACGGCTTTTTCTCCGAAGTGGTGGCTGGGGTTGAGGCACACTACTGGGCCGGCAGAGTCTGCGTCCTGCTCCCACAGAAGGCACCTCAGTACTCCAGGACGCACAACACCCTCCCCATGCCCGAAACACTGGGTGCGGCTCCAGAAGGCGCCTCGCAGCGCCGGCTGCAGGAATCCAAAGTAGCTCAGTGAACTGACTTTCAACCCCAGCCTGGGGTTATTCAGCAACTCTCTGCTATAAACACCTCCCACAAAGACTCAGCATCCCCAGTACCTCCCCAGCTTCCCCTAGGCGCAGAGATCAGCAAGAGCCCCGCCCCTCGCCCCAGGCGGGCGGATGCTGTAAGTCTCACCTGCCTATCTCCGTCCCAGGCCTTGGGCACAAGGGTGGTTACACTATTCTGGTTATGGTAGCTCCACCCGGACAAACTATTTTAACATACAAGCTATTTAGTGGAGCCTTCATTAAACTACTCCCCTCCACCACCTCCTCGGGAAGGTGTGGTCAAAGCCCACCAGACCGACTGTAGTGGAAGCTGATGCGGAAGTTGGAAAGCCTGCGTCTCTGGAGGGGTGAGCCTCCCCGGAGAGGGGACCCGACATCCTCCTTTCCGCGCCAGGAAAGAGCGGGGGAGAAGAGGAAGTCCAGCTACAACTCCTTTCCTCACCCTCTTAAGGGAAAGGTATCGGCTAACCACGGGGAGCTGGGAGCCGAGGAGAAAGTAGGAACCTGCAATCTCTTAATCTAAGCTCAAAATAAGCAAAAAGGGAAGCGCCTTAGAAATGCAGATTCCCCAGCCCCACCCCCGAGATTCCAATGGAGGCGGGGAACGGGCGGGGGCGAGGGGGTCCCTAATGTGCGGGAGGAATTCGGCGAGCGAGAAAAGGTCCCCTCCCGTAGGCTCTTCTGAAGCGGAGGATCCCGGGACGAAAAATGCTGCCCAGGGGGCTTAGGGTAGCCGAGGATCTCCTTGCTACATCCTGTGTCCACGTGGCAGCCGAGGAGGGGGTGTGGGGGCCGCCTGTTAAATGAGACAGTATCACTGCTCTATCCCCACCACGGCTCCCACTTCGCTCAGATAAAATGCAAAGCTCTTACCGGGGCCCATGGCCGCCCCCCACCCCCCACCGCCTGCCCCCATCACCTCTCCGGCCTCCAGTGACCTCTCCGGCTACAGCAGCGCTGACGCCCTGGGCCCCTACGCTTGCGTTCCCTCGGCCTGGAATGCTCTTCCCCCGGGTACCTGCACGGCTCGCTCCCTCCCATCCTTCTGGTCTTCGCTCGAACGTCCACTCCTCGGTGAGGCCTTCCCTGGACAACGCATTTGAACCGTAACCCCAGGGCAAGGAGCCACCTTCCAGGCGCGCAGCCGAAGCCTAGTGCCAAGGGGGCCGGGGACCCCGAAAACAGCCTCTGAGGGGTCCTCTGAGCATCCTTCCAGCGTGTTTGGGAGGCAAACTCGTTGACTAGCTCTTGAGAGGAGTGGCTAGAGGAATTCAGGCGG